CTCCTCCTCCTCGTATTGTTCGTCTTCTGCGTAGTCTTCGTCTTATTCGTAGTAGTGGCTTTACCATTAGTATTGGCATAATTATTGATACCGTTATTCTTACTAATATTACTAGCACTCGTATTATTAGCAGTGGCATTAGTAGTAGCATGATTTTTACTACTGTTATAGTATTCGTATTGTGGGTTATGCTATCAACATTAAGATGCGTAGTGTTAAAATTCCTAGTTTTATGTGTCATTTGATGTTCCGCCTTCGTACTACGAATACTACCCTTTTGATCATTCGGATTATTAATGTTACTATTATTATTGCTCGCATTAGTAGTATTATGCTTCGTATGACTCGTTGTATTCTTCTTCCTCCTCCTCCGCTTCCTCCTCCGCCTCCTCCTCATCGTCATCATCATCTTCCTCCTCCTCCTCCTCCTCATCGTCTCCTCCTCCTCCTCCTCCTCCTCCTCCTCCTCCTCTTCCTCCTCTTCCTCCTCCACCTCCACCTCCTCCTCCCCCTCCTCCTCCTCCTCCTCCGCCGCCTCCGCCTCCGCCTCCGCCTCCGCCTCCTCCTCCTCCTCCTCTACTCTCCACTACCTCCTCCGCTTCCTCCCGGCCTCCTTTTCCTCCTACTCATACAGCCTCCACCTCCTCCTCCTCCGCCTCCTCCCCTCCTCCTCCTCCTCCTCCTCTTCCTCTTCCTCCCGCCTCCTTCCGCCTCCCCACGTTCCTCCTCATGCTCATCCTTTCCCACATCCTCCTCACCCTCTCCCCCTCACCCTCCAACCCCCTCCTCCTCATTCCATCCTCATTCATCTGCCCACCTGCCTCCTCCTCCTATCCCTTCCTCCTCCTGCACCGGCCGCACCTCCTACACCTCCGCTCCGCCTCCGCCTCCCGCCTCCCGCCTCCGCATCCCCGCTCCCGCATACCTCCCCCTACTTCATCATCATCCTCCCTCCTCCCTCAGCCCTCCTCCTTCATCCCTCCTTCTCCTCTCTCTCCCCCTCATCTCATTCCTCTCTCACCCTCATCCTCATCATCGCCTTCCTCCTTCATACTCTCATCTCCTCCTCATCCCTCCTAATCCTCTTCCTCCTTACATCCTCCACCTCCAACCTTTCCTCCTCTCATCATCCTCATCCACGCCTCATCTCCTCCTCACTCCTCCATCAGCCTTTCACGCATTATCCTGCTCCGCTCTCGCCTCCGCCTCCGCCTCCCGCCTTCAGCAATCTTCATTCCTCCTCCTCATCCTCTCCTCCATCCTACTCCTCCTCACTCCTCCTCTTCCTTATCTACTAACTCCTATTATTCATCCTTCCTCTCCTCCTCCATTCCTCCTCATCTCCTCATCACGCCGCCTAATCCTCCTCCCGCCTCCTCCTCCCTACTTCCTCCCTCATACTCCCGCCGCCTCCATCCTCGCACTCAGCCTCATCTCCTCTCCTTCCTCATCTCATCTCCTCATTCCTCTACTCCTCCTCCTCCTCCTCCTCTCCCACTCCATCCGCTTATTTTCCTCCTCCTCCTCCTCCTATCCTCCTCCTCGACTACTCCCATCCTGCTTATCTCCTCCTCCTCCTCCTCCTCCTCCTCCTCCTCCTCCTCCTCCTCCTCTTCGTCCTCCTCCTCCTCATACGCTTCCCTCCCATCCTCCTTCTCATTTTCCTCATCCACTGGGGCCTTCGGCGAAGCTCCTTGTGGGGCCGCGAAACGTGTGAGGGGTGTGTCGAAATCCACTGGGGCCTTCGGCGAAGCTCCTAATGCGGCCACGAAACGTGTGAGGGGTGTGTCGAAATGGAGGCGGCGGTGCCATGCGAACGCTGCCACAGGGGCATTCGGCAAAGCTCCCTTTAGGGCCACGAAACGTGTGAGGGGTGTGTCGAAATGGAGGCGGCGGTGTCATGCGAACGCTGCCACTGGGGCCTTTGGCAAAGCTCCCTGTAGGGCCACGAAACGTATGAGGGGTGTGCCGAAATGGAGGCGGCGGTGCCATGCGAACCCTGCCGCTGGGGCGTTCGGCGAACGGTGCCACTGGGGCCGTGGGTGGAGCCCCCTTTGGGGCCACGAAACGTGTGAGGGGTGTGCCGAAACGGGGGTGACGATGACGATGACGATCATGATGATGATGGTGATGATGATGATGATGATAATGATGATGATGATGATGATGATGATGATGATGATGATGATAATGATGATGATAATGATAATGATAATGATACTGATACTGATAATGATAATGATAATGATAATGATAATGATAATGATAATGGTAATGATAATGATAATGATAATGATAATGATAATGATAATGATAATGATAATGATAATGATAATGATAATGATAATGATAATGATAATGATAATGATGATGGTGATGATGATGATGATGGTGGTGATAATGTTGATAATGATGATGATAACAATGATGGTGATGACGATGAAAATGATGATAAAAATGATGATGGTGATGACGATGATAATGGTGATGACGAAGATGATGATGAATGAGGATGATGATGGTAATGATGATGATGGTGATAGTGATGGTGATGATGATGATGACTATGGTGGTGATGATGATGGTGATGATGATGAGTATGGTGGTGGTGATGTTGATGATGATGGTCATGATGACGATGCTGATGATGATGGTGGTGATGATGATGTTGATAATGATGTTGACGACGATGATGATGATGATGACGACGACGATGATGATGATGATGCTTATGGTGATGCTGGTGGTGATGATGATGATGAGGATGAT